GGGGTCTCGCTCTTGCTCAGGCTGGTTTCGAACTCCTGACCTCGAGCAATCCGCCCGCCTCGGCCTCCCAGAGAGCTAGGATTACAGGCGTGAGCCACCGCGCCCGGCCCTATATTTATTTATTTAGACAGAGTCTCACTTGTTGCCTGGGCTAGAGTGCCATGGCGTCAGCCTAGCTCACAGCAACCTCAAACTCCTGGGCTCAAGTGATCCTCCTGCCTCAGCCTCCAGAGTAGCTGGGACTACAGGCATACCCCACTATGCCTGGCTAATTTTTTTTCTATATATTTTTAGTAGGCCAATTAATTTCTTTCTATTTTAGTAGAGACGGGGTCTCACTCTTGCTCAGGCTGGTTTCGAACTCCTGACCTTGAGCAATCTGTCCACCTGGGCCTCCCAGAGTGCTAGGATTAGAAGTGTGAGCCACTGCACCCAGCCTGCAGTTTATTATTATTATTTTGGTTGCTTTTGGTGTTCTAAGAAACTATCCTTGACCCTAAGTTGGAACAGTTTTTATTTAGATATCGCGAAAGCTCTTTTCCTCCTATAAGGTTTGCCTCTTAAAAAAAAAAAAGCTCTTTTTATACTCACTTTCACCTTTTTTTTGAGAGTCTCACCGTCTTGCGCAGGGCAGGCTAGAGTGAGTGCCATGGCGTCAGCCTAGCTCACAGCAACCTCAAACTCTTGGGGCTCAAGCGATCCTCCTGCCTCAGCCTCCCGAGTAGCTGGGACTACAGGCAGGCGCCACCATGCCCGGCTAACTTTTTTGTATATATATTAGTTGGCCAATTAATTTCTTTCTATTTGTAGTAGAGATGGGGTCTCACTCTTGCTCAGGCTGGTTTTGAACTCCTGACCTCGAACGATCCTCCCGCCTCAGCCTCCCAGAGAGCTAGGATTACAGGTGTGAGCCACCGCGCCCAGCCCACTTTCACCTTTTGTTTAACTGTTTCTCCTGACTCTTTGCAAAAAGAGATTGGAGAATTAATAGTATCATAAATAAAAATCTTTTTTAATACTTTATACACAATTTATGAGATACCAGAGCTGAAGGAATGAGGTATTTGGCCATATTCAAATATGAATGAGTCAGGACAGTTATTTACATTTCTGAGACAGTTTAAGAGAATCACAGGATGAAAGCAATGTGTGCTAAATGCTATAACTACAGAATTCTGCAAATATTGTCTTGGTTCCCTGCCTCCCCCACCCCCATTTTGGACTGCAGCATACGTCATCTTTTCTTAAGACCAGACTTGTTTGCTAACAGTGAGGATGGTGATCAAGTAACTTCCTTGCAGTAAAAGTTGTTGGATAAGGGATGTGCATTCTTCCTTTTGACCCATGTTGGTAAATTGCCCCTTAGAATGATGGTTCCACTTTACATTTCCACTGTCAATGTGTAAGAGTGTCTTGTTTCCTCATTCCCTCACCAATACAATGTGTTAATCATACTTTTTGATCTGAGAGGCAGAAAATGGTGTCATATACTTAATTTGTGTTTCTTTTTGTGAGTTAACATTTTGATA